TTGATGATTTAGATGTAACAGGTGAAGTTGTTGATGATTTAGATGTAACAGGTGAAGTTGTTGATGATTTAGATGTATCAGGTGAAGTTGTTAATGATTTAGATGTAACAGGTAAATTTGTTATTGATTAAGATGTAACAGGTGAAGTTGTTGATGATTAAGATGTAACAGGTAAATTTGTTATTGATTTAGATGAATCAGGTGAAGTAATTGATGATTTAGATGTATCAGGTGAAGTTGTTGATGATTTAGATGTAACAGGTGAAGTTGTTGATGATTTAGATGTATCAGGTGAAGTTGTTTTTACTTTGATGTGAGAAGAGAAATTGATGAAAACTCGCATGTTCAGTGATGCTTTTTGCCTGTTGGTTGTTTCGGTTGTAATTGTGTATTACAAACCTTGGGCGTATGTCATTTCGTAATGATCCTTCTGACACTGTTGTCGCCATTACAGTCATTGCTATTGAAACAAGAAAAGCTGATCTGGGTGTTTTTTTTATTGTGAAAATAATCCTGTAGTCATTACCGTTATCGATGTTTTTTGGAAAACAATCTAGGTTGAGTTGTATATTTATTTCATAGGAAAAAACAAGTATTATTGTTACTGATTAAGTTGTTACTGGTAAAGTTACTACTGGTTAAGTTGTTACTGGTTAAGTTGTTACTGGTTAAGTTGTTACTGGTAAAGTTATTACTGGTTAAGTTGTTACTGGTAAAGTTACTACTGGTTAAGTTGTTACTGGTAAAGTTACTACTGGTTAAGTTACTACTGGTAAATTTACTACTGAATTAGTTGTTACTGGTTAAGTTGTCACTTGTAAAGTTACTACTGGTTAAGTTGTTACTGGTAAAGTTACTACTGGTTAAGTTGTTACTGGTTAAGTTACTACTGGTTAAGTTGTTACTGGTAAAGTTACTACTGGTTAAGTTGTTACTGGTTAAGTTGCTACTGATGAACTTTTTTCGGTATAGTTGTCACCAGTATAATTGATAATGGGTCAATTGTGTCTGTTACAATTTTTCCTTTCTCTTTCTTACCGTTACAGTTGTAACTGGAATATTTCTTACCGTTACAGTTGTAACTGGAATATTGCTTACGGTTACAGTTGTAACTGGAATATATCTTACCGTTACAGTTGCAATTGGAATATATCTTACCGTTACAGTTGCAATTGGAATATATCTTACCGTTACAGTTGCAACTGGAATATATCTAACCGTTACAATTGTAACTGGAATATATCTTACCGTTACAGTTGTAACTAGAATATATCTAACCGTTACAATTGTAACTGGAATTTATCTTACCGTTACAGTTGTAACTGGAATAGATCTTACCGGTACAGATTTTACTGGTATACTTTTTCCATTGTAAAGTTGTAACTGGTATACTTGTTACCGATATAGGTGTTTCTTAATATATCTTCTCGGTATTTTTGTCACTGGAACAGTTTTTGTTACCGGAACAGTTAATACCAGTAAATGTATTGCTTTTTTTCTCAGTTTTCAACAGTGCGGTTGTTATCAGTACAGTTGATACTGGAACATTTGTTACTGTTTTATTTGTCACTGACAAGATGTTATCAATACAGTTTATAGGTATGTGGTTGTTACTGCTACAGTTACTATCGGTAAATGATACATGAGTGAATGTTTCTGATGCAGCTTCCAGTGTATTTGTTCAAATGTCATTTTTCCTTATACACTGGCACAGTTGTTTCCTTACATAAATGGTTCAACCGTTTCTGACGATGTTTTTCCTTAAAATGATAACTTATACAAAAAAAGAATTGAACATGTGCTCATCTGACGTCCTAGATTGCACGAGAGCATAGCGCGTAAGGATATTCTTCACGGGAGTTTAAACATGTGTGAAATATATCTATTCCGGCAATAAACGAGGTCGGAAGTATGACATCATATTCAGAACAATGGCATTTTAACGATCCAGACCCATCACTATAATCATTAGACTATTTTATCAAACAAAGAGCTCAAGCCAAAAAATGTTAAATTTACACAATGTGAATACATAACCTGGTACTGCATAGTCTGACAACTGGCTTCGTCACTTTAGGATGTCTTACCAGGAATGTAATAAGTTTTTTTCTGTAATAATTGTCTCGTATACATACTAATGTTACTTGTGACACGATTGTTCCCTGTCAGTGATAATCAATGACATTGTTATTTCTAAATCAGTTGATCCCGTCAGTGATAAGCAATATTATTGTTATTTCTGACACAGTTGATCCTGTACAGTGATAATCAATAATATTGTTATTTCTGACACAGTGGATCCTGTCAGTAATAACCAATATTGTTATTTCTGACACAGTTGATCCTGTCGGTGATAACCAATATTATTCTTATTTCTGACACAGTGGATCCTATCAGTAATAACCAATATTGTTATTTCTAACCCAGTTGTTCCTGTCAGTGATAACGAATATTAATGTTATTTCTGTCACAGTTGTTCCCTGGCAGTGATAACAAATATTATTGTTATTTCTGCCACAGTTGATCCTGTACAGTGATAATCAATAATATTGTTATTTCTGACACAGTTGATCCTGTCAGTGATAACCAAAAATAATGCTATTTCTGACACAGTTGTTCCTGTCAGTGATAACCAATAATATTGTTATTTCTAACACAGTTGTTNCATATATACCAATAGGACGAGTGTTCTGCTATACTCATATATACCCATATTACAAGTGTTCTGCCNGGACGAGTGTTCTGCTATGCTCATATATACCAATAGGACAAGTGTTCTGCTATACTCATATAGTGTTCTGTTATACTCATGCCTTCAGTCACATTTATACCAATAGGACGAGTGTTCTGCTATACTCATACCTTCAACCAAATATATACCAATAGGACGAGTTTCTGCTATACTCATATATACACATATTACAAGTGTTCTGCTATACTCATATATACCAATAGGACGAGTGTTCTGCTATACTCATGTCTTCAACCAAATATATACCAATAGGACGAGTGTTCTGCTATACTCATATATACCGATAGGACGAGTGTTCTGTTATACTCATATATACCAATAGGACGAGTTTTCTGCTATACTCATATATACCGAGAGGACGAA